TTATAATTATATATCGCATCGTTGTTATACTATAATTAATTTGTTATATTATAATTAAGAATCGATATAATTTGATGTAATTAAAGGAAAAACTAAAATTAAATTTAGGTCGACTTTGTTATTCGAAGAGGGATTGCCCGTCTGTTTTCTTATTTCTATTAAATCTGGGTTTACGAAAACTAAACGATTAAACACGTAGATAGAATGCACGTTGAATTTGAAATAGAGTTCGTTATATTTCCATCGAATTTTTCACTAGAATAACTTCTAAATACCATCGCGCATTTTATACCGCAATTCTCAACAGCCGTAACGAAGCTCGTGATTTTAAATCGATGAACCTTGATGAATTTCTTTAACGAGTAACGTTCCTTTTACCCGGTGAGTAGGTTTCGTATACAATTCCACGGAACAATTATACTTTGGGAATTTAGTTCAAAATTTGGCAAACTTTTTAATCGTAACTAATTTTATACGACTTTTCGGATTCTATCGATTATTATACTTTAGGTTAAAAATTCGTACAAAGAAAATCGCATTTGGGATTTATATCGCATTTGTATCGTCGATACTATCGTACTTGCCGGTTCAACTCTAAAAGTACCAAACTTCGTTTTTGCAATTATTTGCGATTTTAACGCGTGAAAACGTAATTACGTTTATTTACTTATTTTCGTTGTGCGAGGTACACGTTACAGGACAGGACAGTATAGTACGTTGCAACCCTAGTGTTAATAAGGCTGCATAGCTGTCTTCGCTGGATATAAATGCGCGCAGTGAGATGCACGCGGTACACGTTAACGAATTAATTTTCATTTTTTTCCATATGAAAATATTCCACTTTTGCATCGACCGTGTATGCGTATTAAATTCGAATAGCATAGAAAATTCTCGAGCATAACTCGTACAAGCTGTTTGTAAAGTTTGTAAAGACAACAAATTACTCGAGAACGTTAACGCGTCGCGACGGTGCTTTACGCGTATCTACGCGTGTAGGTAAATTTTGCTATTACGCGTAACAAGAGCGCATTACAGACGAACAGTTGCAACTGGTTAAAGAAAAAGTGCGAAGCACGAGGAAAAGAGCGAAATAGTTCGAAATGCGTTTTGGTCGTTCGTTTTATACCAGCTGCATAACTATTTAAGAGTCACGCACTGTTTTAATCCGGAAACCGAGTACGAGGCTACTCGTAAAAGCAAACCACGCTACGAGAAACTGGAAACATCTTCACGGATGCGCACGAGCATAATTGCGTATCACGGTTAATAACATAATACGAAATTAATTAATCTCTAGAGCCAATTGTAACTTTCGAACTCGTATATTCTGACATTTCTGATATTCGGATTAACGTATGCGCGTACGCGTACGCGTACGTGTACGGAGAATTATGAAAACCGACATAGCCCATTTCTCGTGAAATTCTCTCTTCTATCTATTATCTATCTACCATGATAATTCAACAATCGCTGTAGGAAAATCCGGTTACCCAGCTAAAGAGATAACCATAGTTGCTCATAGTTGCTCATTTTTTTTTTATGATACTTTATAAGATCAAGGTCGTGATTAATGGAATTACTCGGACATTCTTTCTAGAGACATTCGAAAGTGCAGCGTGGGTAGTAGAAAGGGAATCATTACACGCGGGAAACCTCGATTTGAACTGAATTTTATTTTCCTTTCGATCTGTAATTGACTTACTTGTTAAATCGTGGTAAACGCGAAATATAGCTACTAACTAATAATATATTTTACCTATCTTACCAAACGATCGAAAGAAATATCGATAGTAACGACTTTAGTCGTAATTATAACAAAGCGATAATAAATTAATCGGAATAACCAGTGGTTGATATTCGGTTTGCATACAAATAGATTAAATACTAGTTTTTAGTACGGCTTATTTATTTATTACTTTTTCTACGACTGTATGTACCCCTTAAGATTATTCAACGGAATTCATCTTAACCTTCATTTTTCTTTGCATACTTTTTCGTTATTTATACTCTTTGTTTCGTCTTTACAATTTGTTATAACGCACTATTGAAAGTGCGTTTAAAAGTAGATTACTGCTAATAAAGCAAGTAAGGCGTAAATAAGAATTTATTTCATTTCCTTGTTAGATTAAATTATAAACTTGAAAACTTTGTAATTATTTCGGAATTATTAACCTAACATTTATATCCGGATAGTAATACAAAGCCTAATTATCTTATAAAAATGTAAGAGAACTATAATTATTCGATTAACTGGGTTGTTACATTTTTCTACAACTCAGCGAACTCGCGATACTGCTACGAAAACGATAATTGTATTAATTGCACGAATCGACTACAATCATTTTTCCATCTTATCCCGCGAATTTCAGGTTACGCGTGAAGTAGGAACAATCTTTTAAACGAGGTTTAATATCGCATTGCCAACTTGATCGTCAATTGTTCAGTTTTCTTACTTGTATCTTGTTAAACAGTTGAGTTTCTTTAAGAGCTTAACGCTGATCAGTCACACGATCAGTGGATGTAAAAATGAAAGGACAAGTGTCGAAGAGAATGGGATAAGAGAAAAGATTGAAAAATTGATATACGACGATATTAGAAGAAAAAGGTTAAGCGATCAAAACGATTACATGGAATACAGAATTTTTAATGAAACGTTTAAAAACGACCTTTAAAAAAAGACCGCGATAGCTTTAGCATTTTCGGTATTTTTAACGTATAGGAATAATTTTCGAAAATGTGAGAGTAAAAAAAGAAAAAAAATATGTGGAAATGTTTACAATAAAGTTCAACTGAAAATTGAAGAACATGCTAATTTGACAAATACGTGACACAAGTTTACCAGAAGCGATTTCTATAGAAATAAAGTTAGAACTTGCGTGTAACGCGCAATACCGAAATATACGGAAAATTAAATTTCGAAGAGAGCTAAGACTAGGAATTCTAAATGTATACGATGTCGCATTTGATCCACGTCGCCAATCGACCATCTGCTCGGTGACGAAATAAAAAGGAAACCAAACTTAACCCAATCGAATGAAAATGAAATTAATTATTCTAGTCGGTATTCCGAGAATTACTTTTAGCGACTAGCTTAGGTTTTGATTTTCTCGACATTATACGTATTTAGAAACACTGATCGTTTATGTCGAATCGGTCAAAATATTTTTGTCTATATCTCGGAAACTAAAGCCGAACGACGGGGTAACGCGTGCAAGGAAAAGTTCAGAACGATGTTCTTAAAATCATGCTTCAAGCTCGTAAAAATCGGTGAAGTGTGCTCTGTTGCAAACATTTACCAAGATTGTATCGAACGCTTTAAATTTAAGTATACGCTGTTTACCATTTGTAACGAATAGATAAAAATAATACTGTAACTTATAAAATCACTTTTATTTTAAAATTCTCAGACCAATGTTGTTACTGCAATATCAACGAATCATATTTACGCGGCTATCAGAAATCAAATATTAACAAATTAGCAAATGACTGATAAATTCGTTCGCTATTCGGTATTCCGTATATTTCAAAGGATGTTGGAAATACTATTATGCTATAACGAACAAACACAAGGTATATAAATGGAAAAAGAAATTAGGATTTCAAATAGCTGGTAAAATTTCGGTTTTTTGCGTTTAAGCGAAAATGATAAATAAGTAGCATATAATATTTGCATTTCAAATGAATTAATCGAAAAAAATATGCAAAACAGATTTTGCATTGTACGTGAGAAGTATTTCACGAGTACTTCGTTATAAACTTTCATTGCACACGCAAATAAATAATATAAACGAATAAATATTGCTTCTAATTGCATCATTCAATTGCATAACAAAAGTTAACAAAGTAACTGTGTTTTATTACATTAGATTCACAGCGTGTCGAATTATTGGAATTTTATATCTAATCGAATTTTCTCGTTGTTCGTTTAAGATTTATTGGCTGTTTATGATTCAATATGAATCGAGAACTGAAATATTTTGCATGATAAACAGTCGAGTAAATCAATTTTACTAGTTTCTTTTTCATTGCCATTCTGTTATTTATCGGTTATTGCATACCGAACTTTCGTTCCTTAATTTATTACAGCATATCAGTATACGTATGCTTCCCTGTATCATATTTCTACTCACCGTTTTATTACCGGCCATTTTCGCTCACAAATTTATCATTATTAATAGAGTTCGACAATCGATAGGTTAAATAGTACGATTAAATTGTATTTTTCTCGACATACTATAAAAAGACATAACAAATTTGAATTATTCTTTGAAAAAGGTATAAAAAGCAGAAAAAGATAAAAGATGCAATAACGAGTATCTTAAATATCCATCTTCGATTCTCAATACTAATTTGCATAATATCGGTACTAAGTCGGACACATTACGTAAAATACGTTAAAATTATATAACGTTAACAGCTTTCTTCTACTTAACGAATCTTCTAAAACGTGTCGAATAGCAATGTCTAAGCGTATACGAATATTTAAAAGAAAAAAATCGTACGCATTGCGAAGGAGTGTAACAGTTTGCTCGCATTTAGGAGCTTTTGACTGAGAAAATGTTGACATTTCTGTACTTGGGTAATTAACGAGAACGTACAGAAAGACAACGAAACAAAATTTTATTTAGAACTACTGCAAACGAAAGCTATGTGCCTGGTTTTAGAAATGTCACAAGAAAAAAGTGAAATGTGACAGTAGCAGAAATTAATTTTAAATCATTCGAAATGACTATGCGATTACTCAGAAATTTGCAAAAGTTGATCGGGGTATTGTTGATTAGGCTCGCGTATATATAATATTACATTAATTATATTACATAAGTATATATAATATATATTTAATCTATATCGCATCTATCATATATAGACTATTATACCGTTTCTATTAAATCGTTCCAAGAAATTTACAGGTCTATTTTGTTCCAGTTAAGAATGTCAAGGTTATCTAATTACTTCGAATGTCTTTGTCTACTTAGCCAATGTCGATGTCGATATTATAAATGATTACAAATATTTCACGTATATTTCTCCATGGTCTCATAATTGTACGCTTGGTTAAAGTTTCTTCCCGTTTTCTAAGCGCAATTTGTATTTCGATAATGATAAAGATAAGACGAACGGTTATACTTTTATGAATCTTGTTAATAACAAGTGGTAGACTACTCGCTTAATGTCAAGGTTAACATGACACGTAAATTAAATTATCAGTGCTATCAACATTTCGATCATTGCTGAAACGATAAATGATGAATGAACTTAATCATGCATGGTAAATTATAAATACAGCAGTGGTCATACGGTAATTAAATATACCGTCTTGAACGCGTGGAAGAAATAGCTATGAAAAACGTACAATTACAGTTGACGCTACACGTGAAAGACATATAATTATGATTATAAATGCATACATGGTCTTTTATAAACCTGATCGCATCACATAGACACATGCATAATTAGACGACATCGTAATCTATGACGATACTTTTCTTCTCTCACAGTCAATCGATATAATACGCTAAACATATACCAAACACTGAATCCGCGTTGTTATTATTTTTGCTAACCACCTATTATACTCTTTTATATTTTAACTCGTTCGTTATTCGATAATGTGTGTACCACACTGGATCTCTTATCGTTTCACTCCTTTCGAACACCTGTTTATTTTATTTTGCAAGTTTATGGTTTACAAAGGCGATGTCAAAATAAACATTATTATTCGTAATAATATGTTGCAATTTATACACGATAACAAATTATCCGTTAATACATAACGTTATGCTAATACGACGTGTTAAAAATTATAAATCGAAATTAATATTGCGAGAAATGATAGAAGGAAAAGACAGTCGCGGGTCGAACGTGCAACGTATACCGAAAAATCAGGACATGTTTAAAGAAAGCGATTGAGAGAAATATCGTGAGAAATAGTATAGAACGAACTTAACGCGTAATTATGTTAGTTAATGGAAAAATGATCACAAATTATCTTTGAATCGATAAAAAGAAAAATTCGCAAATTAGATAGGTCAGATGGAACAGATACATGGCAAAATTATTTTCACGATTCGAAAAAAGATCGAGTCGTTAAAGCAAGATAGGTGGCATTATAATCTGAGCATCGAATAAATTTCACGGCGTAAAATTTATCGAGAAGAAAGTAACGGTAAAAATTATTTTTTTACGTAAATTTCCCGATCTAAACACGATAGAATATATTTGACAAAAACTATCGTGAAATCCACACAGATAAGAAAGATAGTTGAATGCGATAAACGATGGAATTACAATGACGAAAGAACGGGAATTGACACGAAAAAGATTCATCGACAGAATCATTTCGTCGCGTTAAAAGGTCAAATTTCTCGAGAAAAACGTAAACGCTAATTATCCTTTCTTTTTTGTGCTATTAAAAAGAAAAGAGAATCTATACATGCATGCAAGCGTATGAAACTGAAAAGTAGCGAGCAATTTCTTTTACCATATATGTTTCGATAAAATTTCACGATCCAGTGTTTCCTTGTACGACAGTTTCTATAAGTGAATATTTATTACCATTGTACGCGGCGAAAAAATTATTATCACTGCGAAAAAAGAAATGAGCAAAAAGGAGAAAAAAGAGCACTTTTAACGTTTTCAACGCGAAGAAGCGTGTCGCGATAGGAATACCACCTTGTTAACCACGAAAGATTGTTATATTCGCTGGTATAGCATACCTAAATGGAAGAAAATGGAAATAAAAAGAAGGATGGACGTTATGTTGGGAGGAATTCGTACACCGTTGGTCGACTGCCATCGATAGAACCCATCGAGGCGAGGACATGCGTTTACTCCGGCCATTGACTCGTAACGGGTTCAGTCTATGGACCCTGGTTTGTTGCGCGATCGTTTAGGCTGCACAACTTTAGTCTGCTCATGCGTCACGGTTCTCGATGACCGTTGTACCCCAGTCCTACATTCGCTCGTACATCGCTCGTTTTTCCTTTTCGCATCCGTACACGAGAAATCCTTCGCAAACTTACATTCGTTTGAGCGAGAAAAAATGAACGGTAAAAAGATGTTTAATAACAAAAGACAGGGTTTCATCTCGCACCGACTTCTTAACGTAAGTTTCACGTATTCTATTACGATGTTCCATTACGATGCGATCAAAATATTTCTCTCTTCGTTTCTCTCGTTCTACGCTCGGAGAAAAAACGCGATTTTACAGAATTTCGCTTCTATCGATTATTATGGGTCACCGATAGTTGACGTTTGCGTCGACTAAATTGTCGATAAATTAACCAACAACGAACAACGCGAATATTTACTCCACCTACAAACCAGCTCCACGTGTTTCACCTATAAACGAGCAGTTATTGACACTGGACAGTAAACGTTCGATCGTATAGAGAATCTTTGCAAATATTTCAAGTCAAATACACATCGTGGTACCATAAAAATAAAAACGCAGTAATAGAGCCATGGAAAAGAATTCGTACGAATTTGCACATAAACCGGTCTCTCACGGTCTACGACTTCAAGATTTCTCTTTTCCTTTTGTTTTTAACATACTAATAGAATAAAAGGCTAAAAACATGATGCAAAGCTATACTTTCTTCTTCATTCATAACTCGATAACATCGTTATCGTTTGTCGCATCGCGAATATTTCTTTCTTGCACTGTAGAAAAAACACGCGAGTCATACGTGTAGCCTTCCTTCCACGAAATGGTTAACCACGCATATTTGTAAACACAAACAAGTATTTGCACCGGAATAAATGTATCGCAAATATTTCTTCTATTTATTCGAATAATTACAAAGTAAATGTTTGTGAAACGAAGAAAATGTTTGTATACGAATAATCCAGTAGTAATATTTGTAAAAGCGAGGAGATATTCGCGTAAGAATAATCGGGCACGACTGCTGGTAAAAGGTAGCGAACCTTTCGTGTACAAGTATGCGAAGCGAACGAAAGATGGCGTTTCGGGCCGATGTTATGGTTCGTTCCAAGGTTGGCCAGCTCGTGCGCCACAATAAGACGCGAACGATGTAATTGCACCAATACGAGCAATTGCACAGGGTTTCGAAACCACTCGCGTTCCTCGCGTGTACTCGCCTTTACCAAGCGGATTCACTTTCTCTAGTCAATTCACCCCTCTAAAGAGAAGGTTTTAGACACCTATTACGAATTGCAACATTTCGAAAATATACACATACGTATACGAATGTATTTTACCGATTAACATGCATTTGGCAAGCTGTAACTTGATTTTATCGAGTGTTATGTTAAATATATGATAAACGATAGACACTTTGCGTACTTCGATTTTGATCCTGCAGTGTATAATTTACTCCAAGTAACTAAACGCGTGATGTATAACCTTAAAAATGTTCTAATTTTTATGTTTGACGTACTCTATTCGAAAGAGTTCGTTTCTAACGAAACCTGAAAATAACGATAAAGAAATATTTCGCGTGATTTAATGAATTTTGTTCTTTTAGTTGATCTTTTTTATGATTCATCCTTTTTCTCTTTTCGTGCGAAATCGCCTGACGTTTGCCGATATACACGTGTAAATTTTTACGTTTAGATACGAATGACAGTAAACGAATGATTCGTGAAATATGTCGAGTTTATTGACTTTATTTTACAAGTTACATTTTTTCTGCGATATCTATTTGCTCCTTCTCAATTATATTATACAATATCGTTATAAAGTTGTAAATCTGTTTCAACTGTTGTAATTGAAACGCTTAAACAAAAATAAAAAATAATGCTACGAATGTTATCTCTCAACGTAACTTTAACAACCGTTTCTTCCCAGTAAGTTATTACATTTCAAATCAATTTTGGTTTATACGATACAACAGAATTGTATAATACAAATAATAAGATTAATTTATAATTAATATAACAAAAATCATTGAATCGTGACACATTTTTATTCGAAGATAAAAATGACGACGATCATGATAATGATGATGCTGATGATTATCATCATCATCATCATCATCATCATTATGATCATCGTCATAAAACAGAATTACTTTTAATAGATCGATGGATTCCATTCTTGTACAAACTGGTTTTCTTCGCTACTGTCCCACCTAAACAGAATCACCTCATGTCCTATTTAACATTAATCTAGATATTTTTAATTCATAAGATGCGCCCGTATTATCCACGAGACGAGAATATTAAAATACGAATAGAAACAAAACGTTTCATAAGCTATTTCGTATTTCATCTGTGCCGAAACATTCATCATTGTTAGTAAGAAAAGTAACTTTGAGTTAAAGTTAATTTTTGCGTAATAAACGTTAAGAATTCCGATAAAAAATATTTGAATCGTTGTTAAAGCAACATCCATTAAGCACTATTTCATTAAAAACACCTATAGGGCAACGTAAGATTAAATATAAGATCGAGAAAAGGTTGGATTACTCGATAAAATGTTCCCGTACACGCTATTACTCAATTACCATAAAAGAATTTACGTTAATTCTATTCTTTATGTCATTTATACCTGTTTATAGTAAAACATACTACATAAGATTAATTTTCCATACCTAATATTGGATAAGAAAATTGTCAAATCTCGTGAAAATATTTTGTTCTTCGAAAAGCTGTTTGTATTGATTTCTTAATTTCTAATTCCTAACTCTTAATTCCTAATCTACGAATGACATAAAGGAATCATTTCAAAAAATGGGAAGGCTATTCAAGTAATATCCACAATTACGCACGTTGAATTGTAATGTAATGTACTATAAATGAGATAATATTAATATTAGCAATAATCTACTATTAATATTAATAAACGATTTAAATTGGCAATCTGTTGATTTCATAAGAAGGTAATGAGTATTGCTGTCGGTGGTTAATTTTCCCATTAATTTCAACTATTTGATAAAATTCTCGCGTTATTGCTGCAAATCGACCAAGGTATCTGGATATTTATGAACGGTAGTGTAAGTATCCATAAATTCGAGGATGAATTTTTGTAACGTTTACCGTTGAATTATATTTAACCCTTTGCGCTCGAAGAATATTTTAATTCGATTAGCCAGCTACTCCGACGTGCTTCTCCAGTTTGAAATTTAAAAAAATGTTTATTTTTAAAATAAAGAAATTAGAAATACAAACGAGCCTCGATAACTCGAACCTTTTCGAAGGAAAGTGCTAAAAAAAATAGGTCCTGTGAGCGGGTTAATGATTTTCCAATGATAAAACAGGCACGAAGAAGGCATAAAAAAGGCTTAGAAAAGAAAAAATTCAATTTTCTATGTCGAATCAGAAATTTTTCGGAGATATTCTTTTTCATTTTTATCCACTTCTCGCTGGTTCAATCACATTCGCATTTTGTGAAAATGTTGGTATTTTAGGCTTCCTTTCAGAAATCATTTTATTCGACAACAATTTTACGTTATTCCAGAGAGTGCTAACAGTTAAAAGAAAAGAGAAATATCGCATTTCAGGCATTTGACATCTTACGATATATACCTATAAACTTCGACTACTGTCTAGGTAGCAGCGATAGCAAAATAGACTCGTAGAGATGTAACAATACTAAATTCGCGTTACTCTCGTAAAATAATCCGTCTGAACATGTAACAGGCAATTCGCGTTAAAATAAATTTCATTTCTAAAAGATGTACAAAAATTTAACAACGAAAATGAAGTAAAAGAGAAAGAAATTAATAAAGAAAATTATAGAAAGGTTTTCGAGTTATAAAGGTATAAAACGCTCGAATGTATCCGTAAATTTATTTTTACGTTAACTTTATTCGCATTTACATCTTGATCGTTAAAAACGAAGCTAAATAAGAAATTGTTCCGTAGTGGCGCTAGTAGAGTGAATAGAGCTAAACGGCAAGCGAGAGTACAAGTTAAACTTTAAAACGAGAGACATTGGAGATACTGCTGATAATACGAAGCTATTGATAAAAATACTGGCAAAAAATTACCATTTCTGGAATAAATGATAACGAAAACTGATACTTTTGTTCATTTCCCTTAAATTTAATATAGTAGAGTTAATCCGTTATTTGCATTCGTTTCTCGCATAAATCTTTCTCCGTATTATTAAGAAAAGGATACTTGATAGAGAAAAACTCTTTTTTCTACGAAACTTTCTATTCCTCCAAGCGAGGAAGGAAATAGCTATAGCTTTAGAATAAACGTGAAAAATTTGCGAGAGAGAATTAAGAAGAGAATTAAAAAGAGAATTAAAATGAAAATGTAACGGTGAATACGTTTGCAGGTATACATGGTGAGACGCTGCTGTCGCTGCTACTCGCAGGCATAATCGCTACCGTGGCAGCAACCTCTAGTTGCCCATGGGCACAACACGTGACCGACCTCGAGAGCTCTTGCATCTGCGACTACAACCTGGCCAGAGAGCTATCGATACAATGCGACATCGTCGACTACGAACAACTCCTCTCCGCCATGCGGCGTCACGTTTCCAAAACCGTCATAGATCTATTTTACATCAACAACAGCACCATAGAAATTTTGAAGAACGGTTCATTCGCGACTGTAAAAATAAACAACATGCAGTTATCCGGCTGCCAAATTAAAACGATCGAACCGGAAGCGTTTAAGGGCCAGGAAAACTCGTTGAAAAGTCTGAATTTGAAGGACAACGAACTGACGGAGATTCCCAGTGAGACACTGAAAACTCTGAGGAATCTTACGGTGCTAGATCTTTCGATGAATAAAATTACAAGAGTGAACGACAACACTTTCGCGGGATTGAAATTAGTCACGTTGAAACTTTCGGATAACGAAGTTACTTTGGCACCTGGATCGTTTCGAGGACTGGAAAGATCGTTAAAGAATCTGAATTTGAAGGGTACTAGACAGAAAAAGGTACCGGAGGCGCTTAGGGGTCTAAAGACATTGGCTTTCCTCGACTTGTCGCAAAACAGTATCAAAGAGTTGCCTGGATCTGCTGGAATAAAAGCTTTCGAAGGACTCTCTTCGTTGACTGGCTTGAATCTCGAAAGGAACTTGATTCAGAGCATCGGATCAGATGCTTTTTATGGCATCAAGAATACGCTCAGCTCTTTAAGCTTGTTGAATAATCTTATTCCGGATTTCCCTAATTACAATCGAGCGACGACAATAATTTTGGAATAATTCGTTCAATTACGTTAATTAATCGTTCAAATTTCATACACGTATTTTACGAAGCGATTACTCGATGATCGTTTAGGTGCTATAAGTATCGCGGTACGTATTTCTGGCTGAATATTTTTTTACTACTTAGCGTAACGATATTGTTACTAATCGTAATATTAACAGGAGTAGCGATAATACGAATTAAATTATTTTTTTTTTTTTCTTCTTCGAATCGATTTCAAAACTAATCTATAATAAACAAAATATAGCAGAATACCGAAACACGAAATAATGACATCATAATAACGAAAATAAATAATTAACAGCAGCGATAGCAAATAATAGTAGAAAATGAAAGAAAAAAAAGAGAAAATTGAGGAGAAAATAGCTTAGAAATAAATGAATTAAAAACACGGAAATTTATAAAACTATGGTTCGATAGAAATTTGACTAACTTTTATTTTAATTTAGGTGCTTGATATCGGATTCAATTTAATAACGGAATTGTCGGTGAACGCGTTCCAAAAGAATCCATCGATAACTCTACTGGCAATTGACGGAAATCCTTTGTCAACCGTTCCAGAAGAGGCTCTAGGTCGATTAAACGGAACACTTCGAGGTCTAAGCTTAGGAGGTCGATTTTTGGTCTGCGATTGCAAATTACGTTGGATCGTTGATTGGATAAAAACTAGAGATTTACAAGTCACGAGCCGGGAACGTAAACCGCAGTTCTGTGGAAGTCCACAGAAATTACAGGATAAAAGCTTTTACAATATCGATCCAGAAGGTAATAGTTATGTTTATTAATTCCATTCATGATAAATTATATAATAAATATTTATAATTATTTATGCAAAAAGACACGCGAAAAGTTACAACGACATTTTATTACGTAAATTTAAACGAGGGTCATACATTTTCTATGATTTATGGAAAAACGTAGTCAAGTTATAGTTAATAAATTACGTAACAAGTTGAAAACGAATACTATTTTCATTTTTTAATATTTCGTATTGCCCATTAATTTAATATTTGCTATAATTAATTTATATAATTTGGTCTTTTCTTCCGATGAAAGTTTATTTTATTTGAAATTCCACTAATATTTCGTTAATCGGATAATTAAATTCAAACGACGTTAATAAGCACGTAAAAGTATTTAAAGTCCCATATTCTAATTAGTTTGATTTCGATTATTACCATTTACAGTTACTAAAGTGAATCATTTCACCGTATCGCTTGAATTTACGCGTAAATTATTTATCACATAAAAAATCTCTCGAACCAAAATTAAACTTATATACATATGTATCGTATATACTCAAATATTAGTATTAGTACAAATCTTGTTATTGCTTATTAAAGCTTTATACGTATTATATTTCGTGGTCGAATTGTGTATACGAAATAACTTAAATATCGTGACAATTACGAAGAAATCAGATATAAATATCTGTCAAATATAGTAAATACTTATTAACGATTATAATTATAATTATAAGCAAATATATTTCTCGAAAGTATGTTGATCTCTATGTATACCAGAGTGAAGGAGTTAAAATGACCTGTTAATATTACGCAGAATCGTAATAATTACGTTAAACGTAAAATGTTATTCTCAGAGATGACCTGTGAGAGAACTCCAGAGATTATCGGAATCGGGACGGTAGAAAGCGTGGATACGAAAGAGCCTACAGGATCCGCTGTAGCAGCGGGAAATTATAACCCAACTACTCGACCCTCGGTCAATCTGCCTACTACGGTAACTACAACGACGTCGACTACGGTACTTGCACCTTCCACGACGGAACTTCAAAGAATCGAAACACCGTCTTCGACTACTCCGAGAACCATCACCAACAGACCAACCGCTGCACGAACTGGAAACGTGGTGATAATGAGAACCACCTTGTCTCCGCCAAAGCAGGTCCAGGACCAGTTACAGCAGCATCAACCGAGACCACCATTGGTACTTGGTTCGCCGCTTTACAAGTCCAAATTGAACGATAAAGATATTATAGTGAAAGATGTGCTTAGACAAGATAACGCGGTAATTATATATTGGGACACCGAGGCAACCAACATCTTGGGTTTTAAAGTGATTTACAGATTATTCGGGGATAGCAGTTTCAAACAAGCACCACCATTGGAGGCCAGTGAACGAGAATTTAAAATTAAGAACGTTCCTTCGCAGGTAAAGTAATCTCGTTAAATTTCCGATTTACATTTTGCTAATTGCTAATTCCAGTTGGCACGAGATAACGAAAAACTTCTTATACCGAAACATAGTAAAAGGATAATAATGTTGTTTGTTGCACCGATTATAATCGGTAATAATAATCGGTAATTCAAAACGATTATATTAATTTTAATAAATCTAAATTTCTCAGGATTCGACCTAGATTCGAGATAAATTGTCTTTTTCAAACTAGTGAAAACATTATTACAGAATACTCATTTCGGATTTATCGTTTCTTCCACGTAATCTTTTTAATTTACACTTTATTTAGTTCAAGTATATACAGAATTATATAAATTTACCAATTTTAATAACGGTTGTAACGTAAAAACAGTTAATTCTCTTCTCTTTCGTCTCTTTTTCGGATAAAATGTGATATTATAATCGACTCGCTAATTTTTCTCATACAGAACTAACTCGTCAATCGTACAAAATCGAAACAACGGCTATTTTGTAATGAACTTTCTCTAAAAATCTCACGCTTAGACAAAACAATGTCACAGTTCGATAATAACTCTCATATTGCGAGGCATCTTAACAATTCCGAGTATTATTATTTATAAAAAAATGCGCAAAATTATTTACATGTATTCTATTTCGTAGGAATGCATCGTAGTCTGCGTAGTATCGTTAGAAGAAACGAATATCACTCCTGCAAATGTGCCTTACAACCAATGCAAGGAAGTAAGGACGGAGAATTCTCCCACGTCCAACATGGATAAAATTACCATAGCTGCGAGTGCAGCCATATGCGCGACTATAGTGGTCGCGGTGATAATATTTATCGTTGCGAATAGGCGAAGGGCCAGAAAGCTTCACACTCTCCACAGTATTGATCAGACAAAGATGGGAGGACCCATTACCGGATTACCCGTAAATTGTTGCTCTAACGTTGGTCCGACACCTAGCCCTGGTGGGCCGTTGTCATCAATGGCGACTCTCAGTGCTTATAATGCTCAGAAAGAATGGGACCAAGTATCCGCGTATAGTAACAGGAGTATACCGAGGCCGAGGATATTTCCCATAGATCGGCAAGGTATAAGCAAAGGATATTAATGTGACCAATATAAATACGACAAATTCTAGTTTCACGGTAGTCAAATATTAGACATATTACGAGAAATTATATTATATATTAAATATTACCACATATTATGACGATTTGCCATATAATCGATTCCGATTTAATCAGATTAAAAAGAATATCAAAGAAATGCTGATACCAATCTCTAAACAAAGAATGCCAATTCAGAGATTACAGAGAAGAAGAAAAAAGGGGAACCCCAAAAAATATCGCATAAAAGACGTTATAACAATTTATGTATACTTAAGTACTGTCTTTTTTAGGTTCGATAACTAGAGCTTCTTGCATCGATGATGTTAGATCTCAAACGGGACATTATAGTGGAAAAGTATCGACTCGTTCCATAGTCGATGGTCAATCTCAGCATAGCTTCTCCAATACATCGACGAGATATTTTGGAAACAACACTTTATCCTCTAATCTTGCTAACACGAGATCAGGTTAGATTCCCTTGTCCAAGTGACTTTATAAATGAAATAACTTTGTAATAATGAAATAATTTTCTTTTGTAGAATTGAGACAATCTCGACAATCTTTGGCAGCAGCCTCTGACAGAATGTCACGAACAAACTTCTCACCCAGTCATATGCCGCCTCATTCTTCGTCAAGGAGACAAAGACCAAGATCGTGTAATCGTACATTGGAGCAAAATCCACCGAGACCAGGTAGCAGATACAGCATAGCCGATTCCACGCACACTCTTAATAATTACGAAGAGAACAATTGGACTGATCACGATATGGATATATACATGGCACGCAATCCAACGACAAGGACTGGTCTCATGCCTCTCTGATTCGACACACCGTGTGTGTACGATTTTGCTCAAACGTGTTCAGTGACATTTTTTTTCAGACCACCTGAATTGCTCCCATTCACGTAGATGTATAACGTGACATTTTAGAAGATATAGAGTTCGTAGATAGCATAGTGTTTGTCGGAATAAAGATCCGAGATCTACGTTATTACGAGTATTACCGTGTAATAGATACATTAACGTAGCAGCATGGAGGAAAACATAATAAACGTTGTAAACGTATAGCTTTAAGGAAATCGACGTTGAAAAAGTGTTTGAAGGTGCACATTTAGAAATATGTACTATGTGTGCTTGAATGAAATGTTAAACCTTAAACGATTCCAGCACACGATCTCTTGAAGAAACGATAGCAATAAGTGGCAAATGAGTCAAGTTTAATGCGAATGAATGGTGGATGTGTTTTTATCCAAAGACTGTATCATAAATCAGCGTCTATCAAAATCTGTATCGTGTTTAATATCTTATACTTATTGACGCATATTTACGAGAAATGTACTGACAAAGTGTTTCGTAACGTGTGATATATTTTCGTAATGAGAGAGATATCTTTAAATCTAGAACCATTTTATATATTTCTAAATAACGATAATTTTATATTTCGCTAATAGAATAGTAAATTGAAATTGAATATATATATATATATATATATATGTATGTATGTATGTATGTATACGATAAACATATATCGATTGTTTTGAATTAGTCGATAAAATTAATGCTAGTAAATTCTAAATACTAATAGATCGACAAAAGTAACAGATTCTTATTTCTCCGTTATATCACATTGTGTAAAATTGTCAGTACACGATAACTTTTTAAAATAAGGATACACATATTTTATTTTTTACCGTGCAATTGATTAATAAAACGTGCAGTACTTACCCAGGTATAAGAATGCTCCTTTCCCATCGAAACCTGATTTCTTGCACGAACTCGTACCATAATTGTGCCAACGCTGCTGCTCCTCCAAGATTATACGAACAATGTGCTGCAACTATCGCGAGGCGCCATACTAAACTATCCATTGCACATGTTTTTACACCTTTCCACTGGTCCTCGTCTACGTTATATACCGTCAAGTCACCATATGGAGTTTTCTATAATATTAATTCATTTTATTACCTTATAGTAATTTTACTCGTTCTTATGATATATGATGATAAAAATACAATAGTTCCCAAATAAGTAATTGTAAAACAAAACCGCTTATGATCGCTTAAGCGAGGTAGAGCATCGTATCTTTACAACATTTCGTAAGACGAAAAAATGATCGTGTTACATCGATATTAAACAATACAAAAGGGAAACGAGAGACATTCAAGCTCCGTGTGACCGAATCGATGACCGGTCAATGGGACAATTCTCAGCATTCGATAAAAAATAAAAATCATAGCTTTTATATTTTCAATCAGATATTTACAAAACTGTTACCGATGAAATATATCCAAGTTATGCTATTAAAAATGAATCTAAATGAATGACGACTCTGTTTGGACAATATTTAACTATTTCTTATTTAATTATTTTATAGCTATTATCAACTATCGTTATCCTATACTTGTCATTATCGTTATCTTTTTAATATTTCGTTACACTCATTTTTATCCAATATAGTAGTTCATCGACAGAGATTTTGTAAACGTTTAATTTAAAATACAAAACTTCAAATTTCCATGAACGAATTAAGCTATCGTATTAAAAAGATTATTACTTACAGAATTTTCATCGGCATCAGGGAAAAGAAAATAAAGTATCGATAATAATATTTCTTCTGGTATTGGTCCTTCTACATTTTTATTCTTCTTTGTAGTTGCTTTACTAACAACTGTTGAAATCGTCGGTATCTTAGACTCCGTTAATATGTTAAAAACTGAACTCAACATTTGACCTTCTTGCTCAGCATAAATGACAGCCTCTCCCAACAAGTCTACCATAGTTTTTTGATTGTTGCAAAGATGTAAAAAATCGGTTAGATATTCCCCTAATAAACAGGCTGGCGAAGAAACCATTTTTACTTGCACAGACCATTGCGGAGCAAATTGTGGTTCTAGATCTGTGAATCCTTCGCTATCGACCACAAAATTTTCTGACATTTCAGGCCATGTAGTAAATAAATGGAGCTCGCTGTAATAGTTCGATCAAACGAATTACTACTTACTTTTATTACTTTAATCTAATATCTAATATAAAAATCTTACGCAATTGGATCATATGTTGCTCCAAACGGAAGTTTCCCAAGTTCAGCTACACCCAATGTTTCACCTTGCATAAAATCGAAATCTGGAGGTTCTTGAGTCCACGTGCTATTGGTCCAATCTTTTAACAAATATGAAAACCTTACAGATACCGACACTGGATCGAGTTGTACTCCACAACCTTCTCCAACTTTCTGCTTAAACAAGGCAAGCAGACCTAAGAATAATATTTAAAAATCAATTGACCCATTCTAGGTAAAGAACATGGTTGTAATTGCACAACTGCTTAATTAACATAATTACTTCTATACTTCTGTTTTAAAGGCTGTATTCATACCAGTTAAATACTTGCAGTGCAAAGGTACTTTTTTCAAGTGTACCATGTCAAAATGGGTACAAACTCCCTTTCCGATACAAGTCCCAAAATACATTTTCTGCCATGGTTCTTGTATTTGTACTAATGCGGGTATATCACTGAAAATAAATATATCGTTAAATATATGGAAATTTTACCTAAATACTACGTTACATGCAGACACGAACAAAAATAAATCAGAGTTATTTTTAAAGTTTGGAATATGCACTGATTCGTATCGATAGAAACATCTTTTTGATGCCTTTTAGCTATACTAAAATGATTATTTGAAGAAGTCCACAATATGTCGTAACACTGACAATACGTAAAATTTCATTTTTATATTGAATAATCAAAACAATATATTTGATACGTTAATATGTAATTTTAGACAAACAATTTTTCTTATTACCAATTGGCATTAGTTGTCGCAATCGTAAGAGAACTAAGTAAAATTTTAATTTTAGTTTCATCCATCACAGAATCTTTTTTAGTAGACTGTAAAACAAGGAATTCTCTAATACCATAATAACGAACTATCTCTAAATGATTTCCATCGACTCTAGCAAAATCATTTAACGCATTTAACGCATCCCTATGACATTGCACTTTTTCTTCTTCGCTTTCTTCTAAAGTATTATCTGTGTCATTATCTTCCAATTTCAATTTGAAATATTTTAATGTAAATTCCACACCTGCAATAAGAAAGAAAACATCTGTTCGCATCTTTTACATATATATAGTTACATTAAATATATTTGATTTTAATTTCAACAAAAAAAGAAAAAACAAATATATATGAACAAACCAGCAAAATAAAGTTTTTCCGAATTTTCTTCCCATGGAAAGTTGACAAAGTCTCCAGATTTTAAACAAGGGCCAATTTTTGTATTAGATAATTTCCATTCATGTATAATTTCTTCTAGTCTCGCAATGAACACTTCCCATTCCGAAGCCGTAGTAAAGTCATGGTGATAAAAGTCTTCGATTTCAACGTTGTTCATTCTTTTAAGTACTGTAGAAGCTTGAAAAACGTTATTTACGAACGGAACCACTGGTTTGATGTGAGGTTAAATATTTGACATTTGGTTGTTATCAATTGAGCTGTAGTTCTTTATAAAATGGCATTATAGAGTGCACCACGATGCTTTTCCAAATACCAACAGTGCTAAATGTACCTTGTCTATGGAATCAGCAAAAAATTGTTATTTAGGAAACATGTAATTATAGCTATGAAAATGAAATATATAACGAATAAAAATTTCATAATATTTACAAATGGATAAAATGACAATACAATTACCAAAAAATTAAACCGAGATTGAAGTAATAAATTAAAAATTGTTTATTTCGTTTTTGTGGATGAATTATAGACAAATGAAAATGTCGAAAATAAAATCAACTTATTAAATTATATTTGCTCTAGTTTCGATTTACATTTTTGACATGAAATTTTGACATCGTTAAAATGTAAGTAAAATTATGCAAAGTTTAAGATAAGAGAAATAAATAATTTTAAAACTTAACTATACTTTTATAATATTAATTTTATAATATATATGTATCTCATGTTTAAAAAATGAATTTATATAAATTGTGGTAATGACAATTTTTTTTACTTTAAATTAACAAATAGTAAATTGTATAAACTTATAAATTCGTCTAATTTATGAATCTATGCAATTGTTAAATTATTAAATTTTCTATATAAATTAAAAAATTAAGTATTTGTTTTCAACGCATCAAAGATAAACTCGGTAATAAAATATTGAAACGAAGATACATAGGTATTTAGAACTAGATGTAAACTACCGGTATCACCTAACGTTGTTGCCGTGTTTGTTTCTGATATTATATTTGTATCATTTGTAATTTAATTCAACTGATATATGACATCACGCGACAGCATTAACACAAAAGATAACGTAATTCTAACAGGCGGTGGTAATTCGAACTAGCATTATGCTTATAGTTTATATGTACTTGCTTAAATTAAAATTGACCAGTCAATAATCTAATATTTATTAGAAAATTAATAATATTTCAAGATGAATTTACTTTTCCTTTTTACTTTGAATATTCAAATCTTATATCCTGACTTACATGCTTATATATATATATTGCAATATTTAATAAATTATATTGGAAAGTTGCATTTAGAGTAATATGCATTTCTCTAGGTTCTCATGCGTTTATATTTAACGGAATTTGTATATTTGAAAGAATAGAATAAATTTTAACAAAATCATATTTTTAATACAATTAGTATTAAAACCAATGTGTTTCTCAGTTTCGATTAATCATTTGTTTATTTTTCACTTACCCGTACTTATATATATATAAATTATTATTGCAGCGAACCACTAGATGTCGACAATGGACTAACGATGCATTCTGAAAGTAACTATGTAATTACGAAGAAAGGATTACATCGTGGAAAAAATTCTTCGACAATTTACAATAATATTTAAACTATCATAACTGAATTCCAATTCTATTTTAGGATCATTCAAAAAGTGATATTTACAAAACTACAATATCGTAAAAGCAAATTTAAGGTAAATTAAAATTTCTACCTTGAAAATCTTGGAAAGTTTTAATTCGTACATCATGCTCTAATTTTAATCGATTTGTCATAATATACAATTATTAGAATACTTTTATTTTTTATAAAAACTTGTTCCCAATGTTAGAAAGCAAGAATGAAGTTTTAAAATAAAAATTTGTATTCGATGACTTTGTAGGAAAACATAAATTGCGACCGAGACCTGAAATATGAATTTCATATTTTATTAATGCTAGGAAAAATGAAAGGAAGTGCAGAGTACTGCCGTAACGGACGTGGACACTGGTGTAGACCACAAAATTTGTTTGCGATAAAATATCGCTTCTACTCAAAATATTATAGAAACTAGGAACAATTAAACATAACCAGTTATTAATTAGATTAATTCAAGTTGAATTCTTCGGTAAAAGTTTATCCCTATTTGAAAAACGGAAAAGAAAGAGATATAAATTTTTTGAAAAACAAACATAAACTGTTTTAAATATTCGTAATATCGTAAACATAATTTATTTAGTTGCTATATTTTCTGATAATCATATTTTTGAATAATTATTATTTAAATTAAAGTCGATATTCGTATGAACGTTTATATGTACCAACAGCTTGTACATTTGCAGTTTACTTTTCAAGTAGAGCCGACGCTAATGCAATGTCTCGTTCCGAGGGTTTCAACGTGATACATTACCATACAGTATGGATGGCATTAACGCACCGTGCGGTTGCGTCAAACGAAATTCGTGTACCTTTTTCACTTCTTCGTCGTGATAGCGCGCGGTGTTAACGCAAATGTTGCCAAAGCAAAGTACTAACTTTATGGAAATACCAATCACGATAGAACGCGAGTAATAGTAGTTTTTAAATAGTGCATAATTACTAAAACGTAGTGGCATTAACGCACCGTGCGGTTGCGTCAAACGAAATTCGTGTACCTTTTTCGCTTCTTCGTCGTGATAGCGCGCGGTGTTAACGCAAATGTTGCCAAAGCAAAGAACTAACTTTATGGCAATACCAATCACGATAGAACGCGAGTAATAGTAGTTTTTAAATAGTGCATAATTACTAAAACGTAGACATTGTAATGGAATGTAAATATTCAGATTGCGGAAATATAAATAATATGTACGTGCACGTAAATGATCGCGCGTGAAAAAAATGTGATAACACGTATATACCAATAATATCGCTTATTTTACTACGGACGTCTGCGTTTTCCAGCTGTGCCGTAAATTTAATATTTACAACATAATTATCTAAAATTTTAATTATCTTAAAATTAAAAATAATTGAAAAATATCGATATGTATTATAATTTTCGCACAAATTATTATCCAGTGTTAAAACTATTACTTTACGACGTTAAATAATATCGAGTCGTTAAACAACTTTTTAGAGTAGAAAATATATTGGATAGTAATAGAAATAAATTTGAATAAAGTTATTCGCGTATAGAATAATATAACGCAAATGAAATTAAAATGTTACTATTCGGTTTGAGCGTAAAACAAAGTGTCGTCAAAAATTGAGAGAGATACCAAGAGTGGAAGTAAGAGAAAAAAAGAAAAAAAAAGAAAGTAAGCAACGTTATGCGAATTCCCGCGCTTCTATAAAAATAAATGTCAGCTGATTGGAAGTTGAATGAGAAAGGACGACGATGCATGGAGAAATGTAACGAGCAAGTCCGAGCGTATGAATTGTAGAAATGACGATCGTCGACAGGCGGCGCCACTCTCGCTATTGCAGGCAGGACTGCAGTCGCGCACGTGTATCCGTTGAGTGAACGACGCCACGCGGTCAGAGCCGGTGTGTCGTTTGTGTGCGTGTGTTTCTTCCCTCTTCTTCGTCGTTTTCACACGTGCATCAGGCGTGTGCCGCTCTCGGTATGCTCGCACTGCTCAGTACTTTTTCGGCTGTTAACGAGAAAGTGTCTCACGAAGAGTAGCTTTAAGAGCGGGGAACGCGACACGATGCCGGATAAGGTCGCGCCGGCCGAGAAGCAGGTCTTAGGACCGGTGAAAACGATCAAAGATAATAACGAAGCAGTGAAACTGAAAAAAGAACTCGGCCTATTAGACGGTGTGGCAATTATCGTCGGCATCATCGTCGGCGCCGGAATTTTCGTTTCGCCGAAGGGTGTACTGAAGAATAGCGGCAGCGTTGGCCAGGCTTTGATCGTTTGGATTTTCTCTGGCGTTTTGTCTCTGATCGGTGCATTATGCTACGCGGAACTGGGTAAGTGTTAAACATTCACCAGATGTTTCCAACCACGAATATCAGCAACGTTTAATTTAGAATTTCCATGCGGTCAGTGACGTTGCGCGTGTATCGTGATCTGTGCGGAGTTGTGGGTAAATCACCACGGACGAGTGAATGACATATCGTGAAAAAAGAAATTTCTTTTTTCTTTTTAATGAAAATACGATACGATTTAGTTATATAAAAGAGAAAAGAATTTCAAAAGTGGAAATATCTGTTTTGAATCGTTGCATCAGCGTTCCAATTCGTAATATTAAAATAAATAATATATCTGGATGAAACTATTATTTCGTAAAATTTAATATACGTAATTATCAATAGCGAATCACGCTACATTTATATAGAAATAATCTGATGAAATAGTTACAATGGATATAATAACAATTTATTAATAAATTTACCATCATTTATTACTTGCTCAGAAATATTATTACCTTTCCTTTTTACATAGATTAATTTTTTCTTATAGTCTTATCAAAAAAAAAAAAAAAAGAAAAAAAAAAATAGAAAAAAGTAAAACTTGTAAGCAGCACTAGGTGTCTGTGGACAGACCTTTCGACTCTTGCATCACCTTTTGCTAAAGCCAATCTACTTATTCGAAGGTACTCCTTTTAAACGTTTACAATAAATTCAAAATTAAACTTAAAATAATATAATAATAATTATATTATATATAATATATAATAATAATAATAATATATAATATAAAATAATAATTTATCTTATTATAATGTAACAAAACGATAAAACGATAGAACTTTGTCACATAAAATTTTAATTTATCAATCGCAAATCGATTGCAATGGATTTAAATATAAACTGGTCGTTGCGTTAATTTAAATCTAAATCGTTATTAGCTCCGTTATCTGTAGCGTTTGAAATCGCTTTGCTTTTTACTGTATGAAATAATCGTAGATCTTACAATGATTGGAAATCTTCGATAAATAAAAGTATTTTCATGCAACTTATCACATAAACATACTTTAATTCGATTAGAAAAATGATAAATTATATTTTTTAAGAAAATAATATCTTTGAAAATTATTACACCGAACGTTACACATAACGCAATGTTATTTTAATGCACCGAATATATTATATTACGTACATTTGTACACATTTATCGTACATATGTACCGTATGTTTACCGAATAGGTGATGAAATAGTATTAAAAATGAATAAAGACTGTTATCGACTTAATTTTCATGTTACGTTTCACACATGATAACGATTCCGTTGCTTACCCGTGATTGAACGAACAGTACGCTTTCGTTCGCTTGTCGCGAGTTTCCTATCAATTGTAATTTGGTAAAAATGAAAATAAAGTAAAAACGCGAAACGCGATCGTTGAATATTTCATGAAATACAAATAACATTACAGAATGATAATAGGCAAGATTCAATTGTTTTAAGGAGTCGAGTTTTCGGATTTTATTCGTTTTGTTGTTTATTATAATGTACATTTCAAAATCGTTGGACTTCTTTTTTAAGAGTACAGACTGATTTTGAATTGAAAGAAAAAGATCGATTTTTTTTACATTTTTCTTTGACATAAAAGATAAATAAAGCTAAAACTCGAAACACTTTTTTTCCAAACATCATTTTCCCAACTAATGCAACAAATATCGCAAAAACTAATTTATCTATTTAAATGAATCTTTTTTTAAATTATAGAATATATTGGGTTGGCGACTATGCGATTACGGATTTTAAATAAGCAGGGAAATTCAAAATTTTTGCTTAAATATATAATTTTATTAAATTAGGTATTGTCCATTTTTGTCGATGACCTTTTGCCATCTTTCAGACAGTGTTATAATTCCGTGTTCGTAAAACAACAGATTTTTGCCAACAAAAAGTGAATTAAATGAGATTTTACATCATCGGCGTCGTTAAAATTTTGATCATTTAAGGAGTTCTGCGTGGAACGAAATAAATGGAGATTTGACGGCGCTGAGTTAGAGCTATATGGTAGACGTGAGAACACATCCCAACCATAGTTCCAATGATTTTTGGCGAGTGAACAAAGATGCGGGGTGCTGTGCATTATTATGTTGGAAAACAAGCACACCCCTACGATTTGCCAATTTTGGCCGCTTTTCTTGAACTGCATCGCTCAGTTTGGTGAATTGTTAAGCGTAGACGTATTTTATCGTTTGAATTAACAATTTGGTTTCTCGGTAAAAGTTCAATCTACAGAATTTCTTTATAATCCCAGCAAACTGACAACGTAATCTTTTTTTAGCGAATCTCAGTTTTTGAAGTTTTGGACTGGTTCATCCCGCTTCACCCACGGTCTTTTTCGATTAACGTTGTTACAAACTATATCCACTTTTCGTCATCGGTAATTTGTCGTTTCAGAAATGGATCAATTTCGTTGCGTTTCAGAAGCGAGTCGCAGATGCCAATGCGTTGCGTCAACTGAATTTCCTTAAGCTGATTGGAGTCCCATAAATCGAGTTTCTTAACATCGCCAAGCTGTTTTAATTTGTTTTCTCTTTTTTTTTTTAGCACTTGTATGCGATACATCGAGTTTCTTTGCGATTTAACGCGTTGATCTGACGATTTGAATCGATAATGGCTTTGATAAAGATCTCCTCACTTTTAACTGCCTTTCTTTCAAGACTTCATTTCCATATATGGCACATAATTTCTTGGGCGTTTGCGATGCGTTCTTGCCTTTTCGGAAATGCTACGATAAAATATGTTTGAAATGCGCGTTCTGTTCCTCCGCATTTAAATTGGGATAAAAATAAAACTAAATCGATTCAATTTTCTTACTAATTAAAGGTGCAAATGCAAACAACGAGAAAACAATACGGGTTAGGTACTTTGAACGCGTTGACAAAACGAAAGAATGTATTAAACATCGTCTACCGAGAAAATTCGTAACGATTTAGTTGCCAACTCGATACTTTCCTTAGCAACGATGTAATGTTTAATATTTCGAGTTTTCAAGGTTCGCTAAATTTTAACGTAGTTAACGTAGTTGATAACAAATTTTTGTTCCACTTTCTTAGGAATATATTCAAACTTTTTTATTCGAGATTTATAGTCATGGAGTTAGATTTTCCACCGTGCAAAGATAAATTTTTCAAGACTTGTGCGAAATGCGGCAAGTACATACGTGTTTAATATGCGAATAAAATAAAACATTTCGCAAGTTTTTATACGTTCGAAAAGTACGCAACAAAATGTTGCAAATGGCAGATTGCCAGAATTTTCTTTAATTTAGTATGAAAAAAATTTATTTTAAATGACCTATGTTTAGCTATCAAGACCGAAAGTTTCCCTCAAAGCAGTAGTTCTTAACCCTTTGCACTCGGCGATCTTTTCGTTACAGAAACATAGTAATTCAAAGACTTTTTGCCATAAAGTCGACGATATTTTCAAAAGGGCAAATAAAAAAGTGCAAATTAATTGTAAGACGTAGAATTATTTAACCTCGATATTCCGTGCGTCGTTGGGCAATTTTAAATTCGAGATATTAATTAACAACGATCTTTAGATTTTGATTAAATGGCGAGAGTCGCCTCTCGAGTGCAAAGGGTTAACCCTTTCAAGTCACGGAACGCCTTTGTTCGTAAACAAAATTTACGGTAGACCGAAATTCTTTAGACCATAAATCTAATAACAGGGATAAGCATACGCGTATCTTTTGTTAAAAATTATGTTCGTATTAGAAATTACACGAGGGTAAAAAAAGGAAAGCAATAATTTGTAAAATATTATAATAAGCAATAGCGGAAAGCATCTACATTCTTTCGATGGAGCTTCTCGTGACTTTTCATTGTTTCGCGAAATACTCGCAACGAGCCCTTAACAAGGAACACTACTGTTCCACGGTTAATCGGGTAGGAGCTACTTCCTTAAAGAAAATATGTTCTCGTATACGCGTAAATATAATAGAGGAATTCATTGATCAACGTGTTTACCAATTTTAAATGGTGTGTATTTTTCTGAATTTGAAATTCGGTAAATTACGTTGTGCCAAGAATACATACAAAAAAATGTCGATGAGAAACTGTTTATATCGAAAATGTGTAAATTAAAATTATTTTTAGGTATTAAACGAAAAATGTACGAGTCTTCATTCGTGTCTTTAAATTTACCAGATAATTTCGCGATAAACGGCTTTCAAAGTGCATCCTTTTATATAACGAAACAAATTTGTTTTAAAAAGCATATTCGAATAATTAAATATTTCAGCAGTCAAATCCATCTTTTTCTCGTTTAATTTCTCCAAATAGTGTCGAACAATTGTCTTATTTTCAAAATTTCATAATTAAATTATAACATTTTAAACGTAATGTGCAATTGTATCCATCGATATATCGATAGTCTATCTATCGACACTTGTTCTTATAAGCTTCCACATATGCATATCACGAAATTGTTTATATTTTCTCTGTTGCCGATAGACATATCAATTGCAGAGAAAAATCTTTCTATTACGTTTCTAGAGCTATACAATCATTTTCCTACCATTTCCACTATTACAGTCGAACCTCGATAACTCGAAAACAGAGGTCTTACAAGACATACAATTTTGTTCGTGCTTTCCCCTCCGTCGTGAAAGCCTCTATAAATCGAAATTCATCGGATATTTAAATGTATCCATTTATCCCTATAACTCGAAGTTAGAATTGCCAGATTTCTTTTATCGTCGCTACCTTTACAACTCGAAGTTTGCAAATTATGGTCAGAAGATCTCAGAAACCGATCATTCGGTAGTTTCTTTCATCCATTTACAATCTCACGTGTTTAAATCATCTCGAATAAGACTAAACATTGGACGACACGAATTGGAGCCCTACAAATGTATATAAAATTTTTTACTTCTATATCCTTTTTATTGAAAATTTCGATAAGTCGGAACCTTATCATTTAAAAATTGTAGCTTTTCCCTTAAGGTTTTATTAATATTTCATTTTATTACATCCGCGGTCGTGATACGCATAAGTGAACCCATTTC